ACACACACACACACAATTACTTCCACACATAAAAGATATCACCCATTTCTTAAATAGAGAGCCCTTACAGTGCATTTTTTTTTTCTGAAGAAATTGGAGACAAGACACACTTTTAATTACTAAGAGCCAAAATCTATGTATGCCAATCAGAAAGATATTTCAAAGTTTTATTGAGATCTTATATGGTTATACAGATGCATTGAATTTCTGCAGTCCAGTTCTAATGTATTCTAATGTCCACTGAAAACAGTGAATTATGTTGACAGTATTTACCCATCTCCTTCATTGAAAGGAAATAAGTTGAAAAGTTTTTATTTACACCCTAACACCACAGATTCCATTCTGAAAGGCTGGATTCTCCTTACAGGAAGTTTGTTCTATTATACCCCTATACTAGTGGATGGAAATATGAAACTAAAACTTTTGAGTTACTGGTAACAATCTCCCTAAACACATATGCAATTCAGTGGTCATTTCTGTCATAACTGTTCATAATTTCAAGTACTTATAAGACTCAAATTTGATCTTACTTTCTTCATCATTTAAGGAGGTGATACAAATGGAAACACAAACAGTATCTGGGAAAAAAATTGCCTCATTCCCAAAGATAAAGATTAGTAATAAGTCACCATGGATAAAAAACATATTTTAAGAGTCATAACCCCAGTTAAAATGTTTTAAAAATTAAGTATTAAACTATGATCTATGGATTCTTAAAGGCTATTCTGAAAGGTAATTTAATTTGGCCTGTTCTAAAGGGCTTACCTTAATTTGGCCTACTTTAATGATCCACATTATTAAAGCAAGGAAAACAAGATGAAACCGGAAACTCCAATGTGTACATGCTTACATACCTGTGGCTGGCTGTCTTCAGTGTCATCAAAACTCGTTTCCTCTTCCTCTGATGTTTCTTCTAAGCTTAGTGCTGCTGACAAATGTATATATTTACTTAAACTACTTAAAACAGAAAAATGCAATGATCAAAACAGAAATAAAAAGCACATACTACTAATAATGGAAATTTACTTATTTATTTATATTTTATGATATAAGCTTATTTTTATTTATTTACATTTGATGATTTAAGCTTATTCTTTAGCTGAAATTTTATTTTACTTAATACATTTTATGATTTCATTTAATTATTGTGTGTATATGTGGAGTTAACATGGGGCCTTGTGCAGGCTCTCAACCAGTGAGATCATCCCCAGGCTTCTTTATTTTTATTGTGAGACACTCGCTTTCTCTTAAGTGCCCATCCTGGCCTGAAACCTGCCATCCTCCTGCCTCAGCCTCCCCAGTAACTGAGATTACAGGTATGCTCCATTGTACCCAGAAAACATTTACTTCTTTAAGAAATCCTTATATTTATCCCAAATTTCAACAAACCAGTTAGGAAGACTCTAGATGTCACCAAGTCCATGCATACAAACATCTCAAGGATTCATTTACAAATGCAAGCACTCAATATAAATGAATGAATTCTCAGAAACAAAATTTAAAAGTACCACAGGAACCTGAAAATTCACACTGTATGCTATCCTCTATCTCACAATAGGAACTTCTGAACAACGGCTGTTCATTACTACTGGTTTCCAAAATGACCGATACTTTCTTACATGATCTATAAACACTGCTCCTTATATCTGAGATGTTTTTTGTCCACCATTGTTGACAAATTCCTTTCCTGATTTAATAAACTCAGTCTACTATGTGACATCTTCCTTGATTATGGCTATCATTCTTGTTCCTGAGGTTAAACCGGTAGGTATTTCTTTCTTTGGGGCTACCTTGCCTTTTGGTCAGGTTTTCTACTCTATTTTTATCACTTGCACAGTAAGTCACTTCTTTACATGTCAATCCTTTTTGCACCTGGACTGGAAGAGACAATATCTTAAGTCACTTTGTGTAAACAGTCCTTATTTATTTGACTCCCTAATTGTTTACTGAGTTCCTAGTAAGTACTAGTGTAAACATGAGGTGTGGGGCTGATGGCTTCTCCAGAGGTCACCCCTGAGCTGAGACAAACAAGGAGCTCAGCCAGCCAGAGGGCAGGAAAAAGTGAGAGCTTGAGGCAGCAGCAAGAGAGGAAGACAACTATTAAATAGGGTATGTGTTTGTCTAAAAATATAAGGATTGGTGAGGAATGGGCTAGAGGAAAAGGGCTAAATCTGCATTATATTATGAAAGCTTTATAGGTAAGCTAAAGATGCTTGGATATTAATGTTTAAAAGAGTGGTTCATGGTCATATTTATACTGAATATAGATCAATGCTGTGGGCAGGATGAATATTCATGAGGCACATGTAGATCATGTAAGAAATGTAAGAAAATTTATACTTAGAAGGCAAGCAGTACAAAATAAAGAATAATAATAATAATAATAATAATAATAATAAATAATGAATAAATGTACAAACGTTGGGTCCCTAGCAAACAAGTCTCTGCTCATGACTATATAAAAGTATCAAATGAGACGGGAGATGAACTAGTGGCCTGGCTCTGTAGCTTTTTGTTTCACATCGTCCTAAGTTGAGGGCATTCATTTAGGTGTTTTATTTGGAGTGTCCTGATTCTTGGATCTACCAGCTCATCAAGGGTAAGAGAAGGCTGGTGGTGAAGCTCAGTGGTAAAGCATCTGCTTAGCATGCAAAAGGCCCTGGCTCCAATCCTCTCCACCAAAAAGGAAAGGAAAAGAAAAAGAGCAAACAATTCAGTGGTATAGGTAAGGAACTTTAGATTTACAACTCTTAGTTACTACCCAGGGAAAAAATTGATTTTCTTCTACCAAACATAATATTAAATTCTACATGTAAGGGAAAAATAAAATGTATATGTTATTATAATGTATGGTTTCCTACTACGGAACTGAGCCCATGAGAGATTAGGACAATGAATTAACTGGTACATAAAGCAGAATACATGCTTGATAAAATTAGTCACATAGACTGGGTGTCATAGTAGAAATAAAATTGATAATTATAAGAGATAAGCTCTCTTTAGGTTTCCCAGACTGGCTTCAAACACTTGGGCTCAAGAAAAACTTTGGCCTCAGTTTCCTGAGAAGCTGGGACTACAGGCATTTATCAGATTCCCAATAAGCATTTTTAAAATTGTAAAAATCTTAAGTGTCTTGTAATTCACTTCTATTAATTCCTAATATGTATAGAGATTCCAATGAGGGGGACTTTAAAAGTCAAAATATTACCTTTTGAGATAAAGGTAATATTTTTATGTCTGTAAAAATTATACACCAATGTGTTAAAACCAACTACATATTCATGCAGAGTTAAAATACAGAGGAATCCTCATGCTTAGATTTGACCAATTACTTTAACTTTGGACTTTATCTTCCTGGTGGGAACAGTAACATGGCATAAAAATGCTAAAGAAAAAAAACACCAAGAATATAGGTTTAATAAAACATTCAGTTAAGATTCCAAAAGTGAGATTATGCTTCTAATGATCATAAGTAAGAAAGTATGTATATATCAATGTAAACATGCTGACTAATGGAGATAAAAGTGACCTCTATCAGAGGAGTAAATTATGATCAAGAGGATAAATATCAAAGCTAATGGTAGAATGTAACAGCACACATCTTCAATGTGACATGCCAGAATCATTTATGACATTATTTTACAAGAATGATTCCTATTCTTCAGCTTGTATAATAAGCATAAAGTTGTGATGATACATTTCCCATTAAAGAAAGTTTTCTGAACCGATGAGCTTAGACATATACTTTTAGAATAACAATTCATAAAATTTTCTTATTTTCCATACCTTCGTTGGATATTTCATTGTCTGTATTTATTTCATCTTGTGGTTCATCCATGTTCAAGTGTCTTGATCCATTCATGTGAGAAGACATAGGAACCTCATCTAAGAAATAACGTGCAGTAAGCTTAAAATGTTGGGAAAAGGTAATTAAAATGGAAAAAGTAAACTGAAATATAAAATTTAGATATCAGTAACACTTTATATTTCAAAATCAGCGTAACATGTATTAATAACAATTTTGGTATTCCAGCAATGAACTCTATAATGTGTCTTGTTTTCAGTATGGGCCTCATGTGCTATGCTTTTTAATCTTTATCAAAATGTTAGCTATCTAAGACTGAGGATGTAGCTGAGTGGTAGAGTGCATTCCTACCATGCCCAAGGCCTTGAGTTCTATCCTTAGCAACACTGGTGGGGGGAAGAAAAACAGTGGTGGTGGTATTTTCTACCTTAAAAAACAGGCAATGCTTTTTTTCTTTTTTAAAAAAAATTGTTCTTTTTAGATATACATAACAGTAGAGTATACTTTTGACATGTTATACATACATAAGTATAACTTATTCTAATTAAGATCCCATTCTTGTGGTTTTACATGATGTGGAGTTTCACTGGTCATGTATTCATATATGAAGATAGAAAAGTGATGTCTGATTCATTCCATTGTCTTTCCCATCCCATCTCCCTTCCCTTCATTCTCCTTTGTTTAATCCAATGAACTTCTATACCCCTGTCCCTTATTGTGTGCTAGCATCTACACAAGTCCTTTTTCTTTTTCTTTTTCTGTTAGTATGCGCAGAGTCTCTGGTCTAATGCTTATGTCCTTGATCCACTTAAACAGCATGAGAGATAGGGGTTCAATTTCATTTTACTACATTTGGATTTACAGTTGTCACTGCATCATTGGTAGAAGAGGCTATCTTTTCTCAATGTATGTTTTTGGCGCCTCTGTCTAGTATGAGATAACTATTTATGTGGGTTTGTCTCTGTGTCTTCCATTCTGTTTCACTGGTCTTGTGTCAATACCATCTGTTTTTGTTACTATAGTTCTATAGTATAATTTAAGATCTGGTATTGTCACTTTTCTTACTGGGTATTGCTTTGGCTATTCTGGGTCTCTATTTTTCCAAATAAATTTCATGACTGCTTTTACTCTTCCTATGAGGAATATCATTGGAATTTTAATAGGAATTGCATTAAATCTGTATAGTGCTTTTGGTTATATCTAAGAACATGGGAATTCTTTCCATCTTCTAAGGTCTTCTTCAATTTCCTTCTTTAGTTTTCTGTAGTCTTCAATGTAGAGGCTTTTCACTTCTTTTGTTAAGATTGATTTTCAATTATTTTACTTCTTTTTGAGGCTATAGTGAATGGGATAGTTTTTCTGATTTCTATTTCAGCTGATTAATCATGGTGTGTAGGAACAAAATTTATTCACTACATTGGTGTCAATTTTATATACCAACTTTGCTTAATTCATTTATGAGTTCTGGAAGCTTTCTGGTAGAGTTTTTTTTTGGAGGGGTCTTCTAAATACAGAATCATGTCTTGGACTAATACAGATAGTTTGAGCTCTTCTTTTCCTATTTGAGTCCTTTAATTTCTTAATTTTTGTCTAATTGCTCTAGAGGGCTAGGGTGTCAAGGACTATGTTAAATAGAAGTGGTAAAAGAAGGCATCCTTGTCTTGTTCCAGTTTTTAGGGGGAATGTTTTCAATTTTTCTCCATTTAGTATGATGTTGGCCTTGGATTTAACATATATAGCTTTTACAATGTTCCTACTAACCCTAGTTTTTGTAGTGTTTTGAGCATAAATGGATGCTGAACTTTGTCAAATGCTTTTTCTACACCTATTGAGATGATAGTGTGATTCTTCTATTTAAGTATATTGATGTGATGAATTACATTTATTGATTTCCATATGTTGAATCAACCTTGAATCCATGGGTGAACACCACTTGATCATGGTGCACTACCTTTTTATTATGGTTTTGTATGTGGTTTGCCAGTATTTTATGAAGAATTTTTGCACATATGTTCATCAGGGATGTTGGTCTGAAGTTTTCTTTCCTTGATGTGTCTTTGTCTGGTTTTGGTGTCAGGGTAACACTAGCTTCATAAAATGAGTTTGGAAGGGTTCCCTCCTTTTCTATTCCATGGAATAATTTGAGGTATATTGGTGTAAGTTCTTCTTTGAAGGTCTGGTAGAAAGACCTTCGAAGGTCTGGTCCTGGGCTTTTCTTTGTTGGTAGGCTTTTGATGGCATCTTCAATTTCATTGCTGAAATTGATCGTTTAAATTTTCTGTGTCCTCCTGATTCAATTTGGATAGGTCATGCTCTGGAATTTGCCAATGTCTTCATGATTTTCTATTTTATTGGAGTAGTTTCTACTTTCAAAGTAGTTTCTGATTATCATCTATAGTTCAGTAGTGTCTTTGTTGATATTTCTTTTTTCATCATGAATTTTAGTAATTTGAATTTTCTCTTCCTTTTTCTTTGTTAGTTGGCTAAGAGTTCATCAATTTTATTTATTTTTTCAAAGAACCAACTTTTTTTTTTGGTTGCAAGAAGCTCTTTATTCATTCACCTTTTTTTTGTTTTGTTTTAATTAGTTACACATGACAGTACAATGATCTTGACATATCAAACATTTGAATCAGATGGGATATAATTTCTCATTTTTCTGAGTATACAGGCTGCAGAATTACATTGGTCATGCAGTCACGTATATACCCACAGCAATAATAATGTCTATTTTATTCTACTGTCCTTCCATTCCAACTTTTTGTTTGGTTGATTTTTTTGAAATTTTTTTGGATTCAATTTCATTGATTTTTGGCTCTGATTTTAATTAATTCTGTCTTCTTTGGTGTTGATTTGTTCTTCTTTTTTGAGGGCTTTGAGATGTAAAGTCAAGTCATTTATTTGGCGACTTTCTATCCTTTTAATTAATCAACTCAATGCAATGAACTTTTCTCTTAGAACCGCTTTCAGAGAGTCCCAGAGATTTTGATATGTTGTGTTGCTATTAGATTGCACCAGTACCAGGCACAGACTGGCTAAATGACAGAATCCCAGCAATCTAAAGAGAAACAGTTTCTGCTATTGGCCAAATAAAGTCTGAACAAAGGCACTGGAGAAGAGGGGTGCTACAGATTCTTCCCTATAGATGTGTCTAGCCAGGGAGCCATCTTCCCTAGGGGCTCCTTTGTCTAGGTTTTCTTCATGGAAATATGAAACCCTTATATTTTTTAAAACTCTAAGACCCATACTATGGTTTATTTATCAGATATCCCTCAAAAGCTCCTGTTAATGCAGGAATATTTAGAAATAAGATGATCAGATTATGAGAGTTATAACCTCCTAATTGAATGGCTGAATGGTGACTGTAGGCAGGTGGGATGTAGCTGGAAGACTCGGATCACTGGGGGGGGGTGCCCTAGAAATGTTAATCTCCTTGAGGTCCCTTTCCCACCTCTCTGGTTCCTGATCTTGTCATGAACTGAGAGCTTTCCTCCTCTGGGCCCTTCCCCCATGATGTTCTTGGGCCAAGAACAATGGAGTTGGCCATCTATGGTCTTAGACCTCCAAAACCATGAGCCCCAAATAAATGTTTTCTCCTCTAAGTTTAATTTTGTTCATGGCGGTGCTGACTCAAACAACTCAACAGCCACTTCACTGGGCCAGCAGGTACCCATTCCAAAAGGCAGGCTGGGACAAGGAGAGAAACTGAGACCCAGATCTGCTGACAACTCGGGGTGGCTGGACTCAGGGTCAGGAGGTCAACCTAAGGGAGAGAAGCCCAGTGTGATTCTACTGAAGTGTGGCAGTTTGAACTCTGTGACAATCAGTGCCACGGTTGCATATTGTAGAAACCCCGATCCCTGCAGCTCCTCAGAGGAGAGCAGAACTCCCAGGTCTGAATACCCCATCATGATCAGAGGCACTCAGAGGATATGTTGTCACCTCCACCACAGAAGTGGTTCCAGAATCCCTGTGGATTTGCAAAGAGCAATGAGAGGGAGTCACCTTAAGAAAGCCTGCTTTTTGAGGGCTACTTCTGTAGATCAGAAGCTCCTTCATGCTTTATATCCCAAGACATAGCAGCCACCTCTCCTTACTGAGTGGATGGACATCTACCCTGCAGGTCAGTCTTGAGCCCAGGAGAAAGACTGTGACACAGATTTGTAAAACTACTTGTCAGCAGGAGGAGGTATTCAGGTTGACCAGTCTGTAGGCTGGAGGGAAGTGGGGGAACTGCCCACTTAAAATTGATGGTATGAAATTAGTGACAGGGAGTGTGACCATCTTTGTGTGGTTTCTTAAGGGAGAAGTGTCTGGGAGCACTGGGACAAGGTCTGGTGGAAAGCTTGGTGCCTGCTGTTCCCCCTCCCAAGGAAAGCTCCTTCAGGCAGGCAATCTCTGCCATCCATGCTCAGAGGCTCTGGGAGAATTTACTTGGGGACTTGAAATTTTACATACCACTGAGCTCAATGACAGAGTCTTTAGAATTGGTGTTTGCAGGGATCCAGCCATAGGTTGCATAATCCAGAGAGTTTGATTGGCAGCTCTTACTATAGTCATTATCAAATTTCCAGGTACAAAGAAATAAGTATTGAATTTTAATTTACCTCTGAAGATGAAAATATTCCTTAGCACTCCCTGGAGGTCAAGGAGGAGAAGACTCAGCCTATAGTCTCTACACCCAGGGTTGCCCTAATTGGGCTAGAGATGAAAAGGAACAAACAGCACTGTGGTAGTTCCCCAGAAAATCCCAACACTTGTGAATTCTAGAACTAGAATTACCAGAAAAAAGTGCTTACAGATTAATGACATCAGCAAGGACATCTTAACCTTTTGTTGTTGGTCTTACTTTTCTAAAAGTTGTTCTGTGTGATTTTCCTGATAATTTGTTTTTTCATCTTTCTATCTTACTTGATACTCTTTTCATTATTTTATTTTTTTCCATCTTTTCTTCTTCCTCATTTTTATTGCCATCCTTTCTTCTTTGTTTTCATTTCTTCTTGTCTTTCTCCTTCCCACCCCTTTTTCATTCATTTTCTTTTTCTTGGTTATTTTTTATTGATTTTGTAGTTACTAGTGCTTAATTTTTCTGTCCATGTTACATTATTACTCACCACTTCTTCTCATTGGTTAGTGGAGTTACAGAGATCATTTTCAATAAGTTGTTTGCTATACAAAGTCAACATTTGGTACACTACTAGTAAAGTTGTTACTTTTAAAGTGGTGTGGGACATATACATATATGACTCCATTCCATACTGGAATAATAATTTTCCAGGAGGGGAGGATATATATATGCATGATGGTGTTTATATACACCATGTGTCCTCCAGGATGTGAGGACAAAAATGATAGATGTACCCACTGTTCTCTGTTCAGAAAGTCCTCCTCCTAAACATTTCCTTTGGCTGGCTCCTTCCCTTCCTTGTTAGCTTAAATGTCACACTAAGGAAGATCTTTATTAACTCCAGAATTTCCCTTCTATTCCTATTCCATCTGATCTACAAATTCCTTAAAATTAAAAAAAAGGTGATGACTATATTTTTTTGGTTCTTCATTAAAATCTACTTTAAGTATTTCAGAAGTATCTAGTTTATATCATATTTAATAATAGAGTTTCTGCTCTTAACTACACTATTTCTGTTGTGTATTTATAACATCTTTTATATTTTTTAACTTACTAGTTGTTCCTTCCCCAAACAATATTTCTTTTTTTTTTCATAGATCAATAGTAATATCTTTATTTTTGTTAAGTGTCGTCTGATTCAATTTTAGGCATGATCTATTGGCACTTTATTAGTGATGCTTGCTTAGCATTTATTGTCTGTAAAAGCAAAATGTAAAAAAAAAAAAAGTTTGGGTTTTTCTGGTTAAAATTATTTCTGGGTTAAAAGAGGTCCACTTGTTAATTTATTATGAAAGAATGATGAAAAGAATGATGCTGTAACAAGAACCTAAAGATAGACCCCTCCTCCTAGCTGGCTGAAAATTTGGAAGAAGCATTTGATAGCTAAAATGCGGTGACTGGAAACCACTATGGTACTGAGTCCTCATTCATCTTGGGCATCATCCAAGGCTGCTATGCCAGTTTTTGGTGTCTGAAAAACAGACATATTATTTTCCATATTTTATCCAGTTTCCCACATGTATATACTGGAAAGAAGATCAGGTCTGGAAATATTCCATTTTGATTGAATGCCAGGAAAGCCAAGTTTCTATAGTTCTCTAGCATCACATCTCTATATAATTTTTTCTGAGCAGGCTGAAGGCATTCCCACTCTTCTTCAGTAAAATCAATGGCTATATCTCTAAATGTTAACCGTTCCTCTAAAAGCTCTAAGAGAAGATTTTATGTTTTGTATTTTTTCACATCCAATGGCTTCTGGCATTCCTGTGATTGTAAGCATAAATGCTTCTCTTCTGTTTATGGAGCATTTCCTGGCTTTCAGGGTTCTCAGGGTTCTCTCTGATTTGTTTTCAGCTTCTGCATAACACAGAAACCTGGGCTCCAGATCCAGAATAGAAATTCTACAAAAAGATTCCCCAAACAATATTTCATATGAATTTTAACAACAAGAAATGTACAAAATGTTACCTTTTACTACTTCTGTTTTTAATATATATCAGGCACTTCAGAACATTAAGACTAGATGTTTCAAAAAAGTACTCAGCATTGTCAACTACATATATAGTAATGAGGAATAAAATGCACACATAAAACAATGGTTATAATGAGAGAAACAACTTCTACAGTATGGCCCAGAACCATCTCTCTTCCTTCTCATAGTCTTCTGCTCCATGTCCTCTAGCCTACTAGACAGACATGGAGGAGTGTCGCTTCTAGAGGTGGTTTAACAACTCTTATTTCAAAAAGCCACTTCTAGAAGACATTGCTGAATTTTTTTTAAACAAATGGGCATTTACAGACATGCTATTTTCTAGCTCTACTTTGTAATACCTTGGCAGCCTCTTTACATCTAAAATGTCCAGATGCAGCAAAATGTTTTCTTCTAAAAAGCTGGGGGTAAAATTGAGACTAGATTTTTCATGTTATACACACATCTTCCACAGATGACCCGTAACTCTTCCCAAAGGGTGGTGGGCACTTACAACTGGCCAAATGTGGTGTGCTCCTCTACCGTCTCTGTTTGGTAGAACCCAAACCTACTGCCCGTTGACAGCTAACCGTCCCACCGTGCTTGTCCAGGGCTTTGCTACCTTCCAGGACCGTTATGACTTTGTCGTCATGGTGAGGACTACGTGAGGTCTAATCAAACCGCCACCTGCACGGAGCTGTCACCCAGGTCCCGGATCTGCGAGGCTTGGATGTCTAACTCGTGGCCGAGCTTTCTATTGTCCATCCGCATTTTTGGGCCCTCGAAACCCCTAACGGCCACCGCAGGGTATGGAGGCCACTATTCTCACCACGCAAAGGCGCCCTATCCTTCCTCAGAGGTGGCTTCACCTGGGCCTAACAGGGTTGGGCTGGGAGACCCAGTAGCCTGCAATGAACAGGCTGGGACAGGTCGCTGAAGCCATCGGGTCATCCAGATGATGGACAGGGAGATGTTCACCTGTCTATCAATGCCTGGGCCCGGCCAGTGGACAGCGGCTGCGGTGGCTCCAGATGTCTGTAGAAATACAACCCGTCAGGCCCTCCCTCTTCAGAATCCCATAGGACATCTGTACCTTTAGTATAATAATGGCCACTTCATACTATTTAGGGGCTCTTATGAGAATCTCTAGTCACAATCAAAAGATTGGGAACTTGAGTGAAAGCCAGGTCTTCCTGACTGTTCCCAGCAACTAGCCAAGGCTCCTGCCTGGGGGCAGGAGGTACCGGCTCTGATCTCCAGGCTCTCTTCAAGCGCTTCCCACTCTTCCCAGGTTCAACTACAGCTCTCGGGGGTCCTTAGCTGCACTGAGCATGCCAACCAACAACGTAAACGCCCCAGGATGGGGACTGACTGTGCCACAAACCCCTGACTCTTCCCCACCTCGGCCTCCCACCATCCCAACCCCCGCTCCTGCGCAGGCCAAGCTACTTATTCAATGGAGCCCTCCCCCAGGCGTTCCCCAGCAAAACTTCCCTTATTCCCAATCCCCCGGGGCTTTTCGTTACCTGGTCTCTGGATGGAAATGACTCACGTGTTCAAAGACGCTTCTGCGGAAAGACAAAAGCGGTTTGAGTATAACTCTTCGGGGGCGCTGGGGGCGGGTCCTGGCAGAGGACACACCCGGTGGCCAATGAGAATTCGAGGTGGGGTCAGCGTGGCAGTCGCTTCTCCTCGGGTGGCTAACTCGCTCTTCCAGGAGGTGGAGAGGCCCTTTCTCTTGGCGAATTGCTCCATAGCATGCTCAGAATCTGGATTCTCTTGCCTCTAGGGATCCCTCAGGGTGGGGCTGAGAGGGATGAAGAGGACCAGGACGCGCGCTGTGGGGCAGGAGCGGGACGCCCTCGCTGGCTGGGCAGCCTGCAGAGGACCAGCGCGGGGGAATTGGGGAGCGGCCTGCCAGCTGCGGTGGGCATTGGACAGACTGGCTCCCGGGGGCTGCTAGGACTTTCCCTCCAGCCAGGGTGCTCAGGAAACCCGGGAACTCGCTTTTCGTGGGGCTTGTTAGAAAGTGTAGATCCAGGGCAGGCGGGCAGCCCCAGTGATTTTGAAGGATAACTGCGCGCGATGAAGAAGTGGGCGTGGGGAGCCGCCAGCAATCGAGATAGGGTCCTGGGAGGCTTCCCGGTCGCTGGAGGAGGACCCGGAAAGGGCGAGGAGGGCATCTTCTGGACCTGCCAAACTAATGCTCGGCTTTGGGTGGATCGGGGTGTGTGCACTGCGAGGCTGTTATTTTTTGTGAAAGTCATCTTCAACCGAATGCGCCCCTGGAGGTTTGTTTATCTCCTCTTATCCAACACAGAGGAAAAAAAACTATGTTGCTTCCTTCCGAAAATTCGTCTCCTTAAGACTGTGAGTAAAATAAAAGAGAATAAAATCATGGCATTTGCAGGTAAATGGATAGCGATGGAGAAGATAATGCTAAGTGAAGTTAGCCAATCTCCCCCAAATGAATGCCGAATGTTTTGTCTGATATAAGGAGGCTGACTCATAGTGGGGTAGGAAGGGGAAGCATGGGAGGAATACATGAATTCTAGATAGTGCAGAGGGGTGGGAGGGAAAGGGAGGGGGCAGGGGATTAGCAAGGATGGTGGAATGTGATAGACATCATTATCCAAAGTACATGTATGAAGATACGAATTGGTGTGAACATGCTTTATATACAACCAGAGATATGAAAAATTGTGCTGTGTATGTGTAATAAGAATTGTAATGTATTCCGATGTCATTTTTTAAAAAATCAATTAAAAAAAAAAAGACTAAGTGACTGCCTTAGTGGGTTTTTGGCTTTGTTTTTCTGCTTTCGTTTTCTTCTCTTACCCTATCTTAGCTTGCACTCTCACCATAGTTCCTGAATGCCCGGGCAGGAGGAAGCCTTGGTCTCTGGTGGAGCTCTATTGGGTGGTATCTGCTTCCACCCCTCACCAACCCGGGGGATAGTACTTACCCAGAAGCATGGGCAACTTCTTTTGGAGGGTCCCTTGCTCAGAAATACCAACTTGATGATTGTTAATCAAAGTGGCTTGGTCCCAAGAGATTCATTTGAGTTCTGAGAATCAATGGATTATTTTATTGGGCCCCCAATGAAGTCCTGGGCACAATGATAGGAATGTTTACAAATAGGATCCCAAGTCAGACCTTAACAGCAGTCCTATAGTGAGGAAGAAAGACAACCTCATCTCTGCTTACAGAAGGTGAAATGGGGGTCAGAGAGCTTGATCACACAGCAGGGCTGGGCTTGAACTCATATCTAATTCCAAGGACTGGGCAATTTGTTGATTGCAACTCATTTCCTAGAATACATTAACAGTATAAAGGGAAAGTTTGTGATGTCTAGAACCACTTCATCATCAGAAAAAAAAAAATCCTGGTCCTTTCAGAAATAACGTGTAATATTTGGGCTCTTTTTGAAATTTCCTTTGAGAAAATTTAAGATTGAAATGGAGAAACTGTTTATACAACCTCTAAGCACATTCTTACTAAGCACTTCCTTGTGCAATGTGGGCTGCTTCCACAATCTCCCAGTTCTTAGCAGTATTAGCAAAGTGTAACAAAACTGTCAAGGCCTGGGAGCTATGCTTGTTTAATTTATGTGCAATTGTATCTATACCAGAGAATGCATGTCCAAAGCACCAAGAAAGGGGCTTTTCCAAAAGAATGTGCACACAAGCCTATAGCAGTGATGCATGTGTGTAATCCCAGTGGCTCGGGAGGCCAGAGGATGGTGAGTTCAAAGCTAACCTCAGCAAAAGCAAGGCATTAAGCAACTCAGTGAGACCCTGTCTCTAAATAAAAGACAAAATAGGGCTGGGGATGTGGTTCAGTGGTTGAGTGCCCCTGAGGTCAATCCTGGGTCACTCCCCTCAAAAAAAAAAAAAAAAAGTGCACACACACATGCATATGCATGCATACAATTATCTCTTTACATATACATATTGTAATATCTGTAATATTAAAATCAAACATGGCTTATGTTTATTTATGATATACTTATTTAATTTAGGACATTAAGGTTTGTTGAATAATGTTATAAAGGCAGATGAGTAGAGTTTAAAAATCAGACAACCCTATCACCTAAATCATTGTTTATATTTTGTCATACAGCTTTCATTTTTCTCCCTTTCTAACAGGACTTTTAAAATTTATTTACACAGAACATAACCTTGTGCCCACTGCTTGCCCAACATCACGCATGTGTTCTTCAAGTAGTTTCTGCACTGTTGTGTCTCCTTGTATTTCTACAGAAAACTCTTGCCTTCCCCCTTGGTAGTGCTTCCTTAGTAGCAGCAATGAAGTGGGGGCAGAGTGCTAATTACATAGAGCACAGAAGCAAATTTGATTTAATTGTTAATGACCTGGGAGAAGATTTGGGGATGAGGGTGGGCTGTTTTAGTTTCTCCTTTCCTCTCTGCTCCTCCCTCTCCCTGCTCTCTTTGAGTTGGTTTTTCTCTTCTATGGTTTCTGAGTGTTTTTCTCCTTGATAGATTATAATAAATAAGTTTGAAATTGCAGCACATACACTAATTTCTGGAGGAGACACTGTCAAACTTACTAAAAAAATTTTTTTTTGTCTTTTGAGACATATTGCAGATATTATTTTGGTTTATTTGCTTGGTTGTGTGTGTATTAATGGTGCATGATCCAAAGGATTTTGAGGAAAATAAAGAACAACTTGTTAATTTATTATTTAATCATTTTACTTAAACCAACACAAGAAACATGGAATGGGATGAAATACCTCTATTTTTATTTTTGAGTGGGTATTACTTTTTATTCTAAAGGGCTTAGAAAGATTTATAAATTCAAGAAAAATGATAGAATGTAAATCAAAATGCTAACATTAATTAGGATGGAAAAACACAAGTTTCTAAATGATGGCATGACTCGAAGGCAAAAATTGATATTTAGAAACCATCAGAGGCCCCACTAGTAAGTAGTTAGTTAGACAAATGAAAAGTCTTCTATTGTCCAAGACTGAGAAACAATCATGACCCTTAGAGGCAAATAAGAACTTAATCTGGAAAAGAAATTATTTCTTGCACTGAGTTTGGATGGGGGGAGAGGAGGTGAGACAGAAGCAAAGAGGAACCACGGATTGGATATTGTATCTGAGTGAGTCTCTTTGGGATAGTGGTCAATTAATTTACTTCTAAATAGTTTTAGAGTGGAAGTGTCAATTTTTCAAAAGAATTTCTCTGAAGGGTATAGGAATCTTCAGGGAAAAGCCAATTACTCTAGCACAATTGTCAGTTGGAGAGAATTACCATTTTCTGATAAGCAGAAACCTTAATAAGGAACTCTTCCCCTCCCCCAAAAGCCCCCATTTAACTAGTGCTTTTGGTGAATTATCTTGGGTTCCAAAAGTTCCTGACTGAGCATGTATTTTATAATAGGTACTAAGAATTATAGCATCTTGAATTTTAGGATAGCGAATCCATTTCTTCCTTCTTTTGAAGTAGGTAAATATAGAAAAATGACCAGATGAAATGAAACAAAAAGTAAATATTACACAAATACAGTCACTCATCACCCTTGATAGAAGCATTTTTATTTATTAATAAATAAAAGCTTTTTCTACACATACACACACACACAAATATAATTACATGTTCAATCAATACTATAGTCTGTCTTGTCACTTCACGTGTAAACAAACTTTTATGTTTCTATGTAAGTTTTCATATAATTTTTATTTGATATGTTATAGAGAGTTCATTTATTAAATGAGCAGACTGCCATTGGACATTCTAGCCTGATCTGGAGAGACTAAACTGCTCCTACAAAAGTGGCAGCTGCATGGCGTATCGCAAGCCCATGTCTACTATTGAAGGTGATAAGGTAGGTTCTTACTTTGTCCCCACACTGCAGAATGTTCTGAAACTCCCCTTGGGTTCTTTGGCCACAAATGGCAGCTTATACCTAGCAAAGGGAAAATCATCATTAGGTTTTAGGAATTGCTCTTCTTTTTCTCTGCAGGTTCTCAGACAAACCCCTCTGCCTACTGATACTTTATTTTCACAAACATCTGAGAAAGTTTGTATTAAATGTGAATTTTAATTTATATTGATGTAGATGTACAGTGAACTGAAAATGGTATTAAACTGAAACAGGTACGTAGAGCTACCTAAAGAGCTTCCATTGACAAAGGATCCTTTCCCCTTTTTGTTTGGAAATGTACAATATATTTTAAAACATTTAATTAAAGTAATGTTTTCTGTATTTTTAGTTATCTTTTTTGCTGGAGGTTTGCCTTTTGTTTTATTTTCCTTTTCTGCAACTACTGCTGAATGTAACCTGTTTATGAATCTTCAAAGCACTCTTTTATTATTTTGGAGGTACTTCCTTTTTAAAGCCTTTTTAGTAGTTAAATAATTTTTCCATAGGTTGTTAGTGCCAAGAATAACTTTTTCAAATATCACATGATTATTTGTTAGACAAGGTCACATTCAGACACCAAAAAAGTGTGGATAGGAAAGTACAAATATCAAGAGGTAGATTTTATTGATAAGAAAGCTAATATTTCATTCTAGCTATTTGGTGACTGGATTCTCTCTGTCTCCCGTATCTCTCTCTGTTTTTCTCACCCCTTCCTCTAAAACACTTAAAATATATTCTTCTGTTTTTCATATTGGCAAAAACATGACTGGAACACAGAAGTCT